AGCGTAAACATCAACTTCCACCTTTGAACGTGGCAAAACAACAACTTGCTCTACCCTCGACGTGAAACCCGCGAGTGGCATATGGGGCCACCTCAACCCCCCCACTTCAACATTTGGGGGGAGGGGGTGTGGCCCCACACTTGAACATGATTGGGAGCATAAACACGCGTTTTCACCTTACAACTTGCTCTCCCCTCGACATGAAACCCAAAAGTAGCACTTCCCCCCTGTTCTTCCTTCTCTCTCTCTTTCCTTTGCTCCTATCTCGTTCTCTTTCTACTCTCTTGCACCCACTGATTGTAGCCCCGTTCTCCGGTAACCTAGAACCCTACCAAGGGGCCTACCGGTAGGTAGCTCAGTCGGTATATCCATGAACTCAGATGCAGACAACACGGAATGGACACTCGACACATACAATTGATCCCAAACAGTATGCACACACACCCAACGTAAAACACCACCCATCAACCAGCCCTGGGGGATAAAAATATACTTGGAATCTCGACTCGATAAGGGTGTGGGTCGCCCCCCCACCTCCACACTTAACCATAACCTAAGAAAAGACGAGTTTTATACCCAAACCCAAACCCAGGCCTACGCCGGGGCTTCCGCACCACATAACTCGCGGTGCCATGGTGTTGTACAGGCCAGTCACTGTGTACACAGTGATCACCTGGAGCAGTAGACCGTGGGTGTCCTGGAATATGAGACCATCCCATCCTCACGTCAATACTCCTAGCGCACCCCCTATCCCACTATCCTACCTCAGTGTGACCAGCACTCAGGACCATTACCCTACCAATGGGCAGGTACGCTCCACATCAGTAAAGGAAAAACAAATGTTCCCCAAGCAAAATGCCCTCGACCCTAACAGCCTCAACCCCCCTTCCGGGCATAGCAAATAAACCAATCTATACCCAAACCCAGGCTCCACATCAATAGCGGAAAGCCCCTGGCTGCGCCACCACGCTTGGCGTGGTCTAACAGTTCGTTTGCACCCTGCAGGAGTCGGCCGGTAGCATCAGGGCCCATGCCAAATGGTCCGGTCCTGGCCTTCTGTCCGGTTCCCGGCCTCCAAACATCAGCGGTGTTCGCGGGTGGGGGGCCCAAGGGGCTACCTCTAGATGGCGCGCACCAAGTAGTCGTAGGTAGATACATCAGGCCGACGGGAATAGAACCGATGACCTCTTGAATGCTTGCCAACTGAGTTCGGCCGCTGACTCCCCTCGCGGTTTTGGTGTTGTGTATGGCGAACATGACAACACACACCAACACCCATCACATACGCATACACCCATTAGGCGCGTACGCACACAACAGACGGTGACCCTTACCCCCGGTACTCACGCACACACGCACAGTCCGGCGAAACAGTCTGGCACAGTCATGCTGTCTTTGAGTGTATAGCGAATATGACAACAGACACACTCACACACAGGCACAGGTGCAGTTCATGGTTGAGCACTGAATTGTGAAGGCTGGACGGCTTGGGCTGTGCATTACGTGGGGGCTGAGCAAGGACTTGCGGCGGCTGGAGTAAGCACACGCAGCTCTAAGTTCTGAGTCCAATCCAGGCAACACGAAGATTGGCGACTCAGGTTAGTGGATTTCGTCACCCTCCCCTTTTTGTCGTCCGAGAGAGAGAGAGAGAGTG